GGATGAACAGGTTATTTTTCTCTGAGGTTACCCTGTAATTTATTAAATTTTTTCCTGATTAAAACAGTCTGTTTTCATGTTTGGAATGCACAAAAGTGGGGGAAATAATGTTAAGATGTTTGGCTGTCTTTTGAATCTTGATTTCCCTGGCATACCATTATAAAATAGACACTTGAGGAGGAGAGAAAGGAATAGGCAGAAATATCACCATAGAAAGCTTGTAAGTCCGTCTTCTGCCTATAACTGATTGGAATACCTAAAATGGGGTTACAACGTGCCCAGTGAAGGAGGCTTCCTGTGGAGCCTCTACATTACATAAGACCATAGGTGGAATCTAGAACCCCATCCAGAATCTTCTGAGGTGGGAAATTTCCACTTGCAAGGACAAGCAGACCAGCCTAGAGCGGCTAAAAGAATAGAAGATACTTGTTGAAAGAAAGACCAACAAGAAAAATACAAAACAATAACAGCAGTCCGACTGACTACTACAAGAACAAGAAGGTTGCTCGCCCAGGAGACATCAAGGCAAGTGGTCGGGTCCCCTCAGGGAAAACCCCCTTCCAAGACTGAGACTCAATGGGAATGCATGAGCAGACATGTGCTCTAACTGGTGACCACATTGGTCACCAATAAGGGGAAGTAAGGGAAAAACAGCAGTGAAGCTGCAAGCTAAGTCCAACCACATTCAATACACTCCTGTGAACCCAGGTGGAGACCTGGTTGGTCAGCAGTTTGGCAAGACCTGGGGACTCCTGGGCCCAGAGTCAGTGACACAACCTCAGAGGACTAGAGTGGAGAGTGAAGCGTCCAGCTGATAAGAAGAGAGGGCATATGCACAAGAACACCCACACGTGCAGATAATACCCACTTGACCTGGCTTCAATGTCTAGATGATCAGCGCTCAACCAGAAGAATAAAGAAGAGGAAAAAAAGAGTAATATGATACAATTTGATGAACTTGACCTACACCTATAGATGCAACTTGGACATTGGCTACCCAAAATGGGGTAGCCACTTTTTGACTGGCTTACAAGCTTTCAGGAGGGAGCCTAGATCCAGAGGGGGCAGAGGAAGGTAGAATCTCCACTGAGTAGTATCCAATCTGTCTGGACGGGACTGATGAAAGGGGATGTGGATAGCACTCATGTGGTACAATGTTGTTGTTGTTGTTAAGTGCCGTCGAGTCGGTTCCGACCCATAGCAACCCTGTACAGGGTTTCCGAGGCTGTAAATCTTTACGGGATTAGAACGCCTCATCTTTCTCCCGCGGAGCGGCTGGTAGTTTTGAACTGCTGGCCTTTAAGGTTCACAGCCCGATTCGTAACCACTACGCTACCAGAGCTCCTTTCATGTGGTACAATAGTGAATAATTATTATCAGGACTGACTGTGAGGGTTGGAAATGTAAAGGTAGATGTTTTGTAGCAAAAGGAGAGGAGTGTTTCACTTTGCAGTCTAGGAGCGGAGGTCCCTGAGACCATCAAGGGAGAAGAGTGGAGTGCAGGACCCTACCCAGAGAAACAGTGATGCCAGAGATGGAGGCAGAGATGATGATGTGGAGAGATGGTGTGACTGGGAATTCTAGACCCAGAGAGGGAGAGGGGCTGTGTGCTGACCACCAGGAGGTAGACTTGCAGGGTATACCATTTGGTTGGTTTATGATGCATGGAGGAGATTGTAACCATGGAAATGTAACGATATATGGTAGGATGAATGTAAAGCTAATGTTCTCCCATGTAAACTATCACATAATTCATAATAAAACATTTAAAAACAAAAATCAGTCTGTTTTATCTTCCTTGCCATTTGAAAGTTCTGAATCAACACTGTTCCCTCTGTTTGCTTTGTAGTTGACTTCTTTATACATTGATAGCTCTGGTTCTTATTTTTCAGGCTTATACGTTTGTTTTACTTTAAATACCTCTAGATCTGGATTGATTTCTGGGTGGTTGTGTCATGTATGGTAATGTTAAGTTATTGTCTGCTATTGGTTCTTAGTCCAAAGAATATCCTTTAGCATTTTATGCAAAGTTGGTCTAGTTATTACAGATTCTTTTGTTTATCAGGAAATGCCCTAATTTCACCATCATATTTGAGGGACAGCTTTTCTGGATACATGATCCTTGGTTGGCAATCTTTTTCTTTCAGAGTTTTGTATAGGTCATTCCATTGCTTTCTTGGCTACCTGATTTCTACTGAAAAATCAGAGGTTTGTCTTATTGGTTTTCCTTTGTCGGTAACTTTTAGTTTTTTTCCAAGCTGCTCTCAAGATTCTTTCTTTGGTTTTTTATTTTGAAAATTTTGGTTGTGATATGTTTTGGTGATTTTCTTTTGGGATCTATCTTGTTTAGGGCTCATTCTGCTTCTTGTATGTTCATCTTCTCATCTTTCATGACATTAGGGAAGTTTTCTTCTTACAACTCCTTGGCAATTTTCTCTGTGCTATCTCTCCGTGTTCTCGAATTTCAATCACTCGTAAGTTGTTCCTCTTCATGGTGTCCCATGTAGCTGTTAGGCTTTCTTCAGATGTTTTCATTCATTCTCTAATATTCTTCTTTCTTCTAGCATACTAGTATTGAGAGATTTCTCTTCAAGCTCACTAATTTGGACCCCCATTGTTTTACCTCTACTCTTTTGCCCTTTGAATGTTTTGTCCATTTCCAAGATCTTCCTATTACTCTGCTGGAATTCTAGTTGAAGGTTTTGTATTGTTTCAAAATTTATAAATATTTTGTCTATTTGTTCTTGTAGTGTTTTCCTGAAGTCTTCTAGACTTTTTATTGTGTTTTTGCTTTCCTTGATCTTTCTATTGGTCCTTTGAAGGTACTTTTTTTGAATTTTTTTTTCCAATTAGTTCTTATACCTTTCTTCCTCAAAAACGTCTTCTGGCTCTGTACCTTGGTCGTTTAATTAAGCCATTCTCACTTATTTCATCATGTGAGCTAAAATTGTCTGTTGTGTCTGGGGCATTGTGGGATGGTCATATTTGTGACAACAGTGCAGCTGTAGGATCTGGAGGAGAGAACTCTGTGGGGAGGCTCCTCCAAATCAAGGAGCTCACAAGGTGGCTGTGGAAGGGATGTGACAGCAGAGTTCCTGGCCCTAGAAGGGGTTCCTATTGGCCTCGGTCTTATTTTCAGGACACTCAGTCTGAAGTAGTTTGTGGGCTCCCTTGGCAGAGCTGGTTTCAGTGTCTGTTAGGACTGCAGGGCAGCTGGGGGTGACTGGTTAAATGCTGGTCTGGTGGCTCTGTGGGTTTTGTAGGTCTGAAGCTGTGCCCACCAGAATCCAGGCACCAAAGCAATGCAGCCAGCCCCCACTTCACACTGGCATGGTTCCCAACCACGTAACTCTGAACTCCCAGAGAGCAAGGGTGGATGAAGGTGGGAGCTGGCCACACCTCTGGTCACCAGGGGAGTGTGGGAAAAAAGAATAAATTGCACCTTTTCTATCACCTGCTTGAATCTGCTCTGCCAGGCCTCCTTCCACTGTGACAGCTGATGGAGCTGTGTCTGGCCAGCTACTCACCAGTCAGTCTCCCTCTTTAGCCGTCCCTGCTCAGCCTCCTCTCAGCGTACACTCCATCTACCTCTCTAACCTTTCTTCAGAAGTTTAGGGTGCCAAAATTCTCATCTGTGTCTGTTTTATTGGGTATCTCGTATCTGTGTTGTTGAGGGTCCATGTAGTGTGTATACCTAATCCACTATCTTTCTGGAAGTCGTAAACCCAGTCTTCCTTAATTCCAAAATGCTATGCTTTTCTTTCTGTACTAAATCATCTCCCTTCATCACAAGGTATTTGAATTTATTTAAATTGGACATAATATTGATGATACTAAATCTTAGTCACAACATCCTTCTGATTTTGAGTCTTCAGAAGAGCCTCAGTTTCTAAGGACTTGAGATCTAGAATCACAGAATTTACTTGAATGACCTTATCACAGGGAAATTCAACATTTAAAAAAATAGGTTGAAGGTTCTAGACTAGGATCCATTTCTCTGATCATCTTTTTAGGAAACTAAGCCTCAAAAAAAAATTATAGATAGATAGATAGATGATAGATAGATAGATAGATAGATAGATAGATAGATAGATAGATAGATAGATATGTGCTGTTGAGTCTTTTCCAACCCATAGCGACCCTGTATCGGGTTTCTGAGGCACACCTGATGAGTTTGAACTGCCAACTTTGTATTCAAACCAACTTTGCAGTCCAGTGCTTTATCCCACAGGGCCACACCAGAAAAAGAAAATGTATAAATGTGTATATGTGTGTGTTTGTAAATAATTCTTCCCCATATATATACATAGAAAGAGTCCTGGTTGTGGTCCTATGGGTTAATGCACTGGACCACAAGGTCAGCAGCTCAAGCTCCCCAGCCACTCTCAGAAACTCTATACAGGGTTGTTATGGGTCGAAAACAACTCAACAGCACACAACAGCAAAATATATAGATGTGTATATACCTATATACATATATATTTATGTATGTATATATATAATTTTTGTCACAATTTTTTTGAAGCCCCCTCATATTATTATATATTAACTATGAAGTTCTGGTATGGCAATGTATGGAAAACAAGGTTGGTTTGAACTGCAAGGCCAGCGGTTGAAACTCACCAGATGCTTCTTAGAAACCCTACACAGGGTCGCTATGAGTCAGAACCAATTTGACATCACTTAACAACACACACGTGTATTAGTGTTTTTTAATATTGCACAATTTAGGGCACAATTGAGACTTCAAATTTAGATCTTCTTCCTCCAAGTCCAGTGTTTTTCCATGGTACCCTACTGCCTTTCTCCCTGCCACGGCTGCTAGCTTTTAGTATATAATATCTTCTCCATTGTATTTTAAACAAAGTCAGGTTTTCTACAAAGAATCTAATAATCACCAAAATTAATGATATAGCTTTTTAAGGGGTTGTGTGTGTGTGTGTGTGTGTGTTTATCCATTTTCATGTTAAGATTATTTTTTTTCCCCCTATAATTTTCAGAAATTAACCCTTCAGCATGTGAACAGTAACCAGTGCCTGGACAAAGCCACAGAAGAGGACAGCCAGGTGCCCAGCATTAGAGACTGCAATGGAAGCCGGTCCCAGCAGTGGCTTCTTCGAAATGTCACCCTTCCAGAAATATTCTGAGACCAAATTTACAAAGAAAAATAAAATAACAATAAGGATTGACTGGGCTACCTCAGCATACATTTCTGCCACCTTCTTAAGAAGTAGCAAAAAAGGAAAAAGTGCTCTCCTGTTCTGTGGGATGTAAGGTTTATCAGCCATTCAAACGTAGACTCCTCTCTCTTCTCATGAGCTGTGAACCAGCCTTCCTGTCCATGGACGTGACACGGCATAGCAGTGAGACTGTGCATACGGATGTTTACAAGGTGGAAAAAGTCATCCAAGGAGGATTCGGACAATGAAGCAATCCAGAAGACTGCTCTCTGAGCGCTGCACCATTGACGGTTGACTTGCTCATCAGTCACTCCTACTGAATGTGCTGTCCTTGTGAAAAGACTCCCAAGATTTTGTTTGGTTTTTTGGGGTTTTTTTCCTGATTAGAACTGTTAGCCGGTATATGAAATACTGATAGAAAAAATAAACAAAAAAGAACTGGAACGAGATTCAGTATCATGAAAACAACATTTTTACCACAATAATAATTTTAAAAAAACTATATTAAACAGGGTTTAAAGAAAATCAAATCAGAACTATGAGAAGTACAATTTGTTATAGTATAGTATCAAATTTCTATATAGATTTTATACCTCAATGGGAGAAAAAATTATGAATTCCAATGACATTCATTTTGTTTTCATCTGTGATAGTCATTGATGCTTTTTTTTTCCTTGGGGTGCTGAAATTGAGCTGAAGAAAATGGCTCTTTGGACATCAACTTAATTTCTTCCTATAATTTTTTAAAATATTGATATGTGGGCTGTTGGAAATGTAGTTTCTAATTACCATCTAAAAATGTCAGTTGAACAAATTAGGTATCTCAGTTGCTCTTGGGTCAGCTGGCTTGTAGATTTACACACACACAAACACACACACAGTTATTTACATTCTTAACTTCTTAGCTTGTTTGGTTCATCAGATTATTCTTAGTGCCCAAGACTCATACTACTGTACCACAGATTTGTTTTCACAGCAATAAATCTTCAGTTCTTTGTTCATGATTCCACTCAACAAAAGGCCTACAGAAGTGATTTATTATTTGAATATTTGGAGATTATATATTTGATGGGTTTCTTTTGGAAAACCTTTTTCACTCCATAGTCAGATGTGCTTCATTGTCGAGTGCATATTTAGATTAGATTCTTGAATTGTAATGTTGATCTGCTGCTTTTTTTTTTTTAATAAAATTTTACTGAAAATGTTTAATTGGCATTTTTTTAATGTTAGCCAAAGAAGTGCAGCTATTATTCCATTATTTCTAGCCCTGCATTTCTTCTTTAAATGCAATTTAGGTTAAATCTGTTTTCTTTTTCTTGATTTTCTTTTTTAAATTCCACAAAAATAACGTGAATATCAATTGAAAGGCAATCTTTTAATCTTATAGAAAGAAAATCTCAGTGTGATATTTTTCCTGATACTTAAAGCAGTCCCTTGACTGAAGGGCATATCTTATTCCTTACTGTTTGTAAGATTATATTTAATGGTATTCTTTTCTCTAATTATCAAAGGCTCTCACTGCAGGCAGTGCTATTTCTTGTGCCTAAGAATGTTTTTGGAAGTTGCCTCTTTAACGATACCTGCCAAGTTGAGTGTACACAAGGTTTCTCAGATCCGAGTCAAGTTAATTAACATCAAGTACATGTTGCTTTAGGGCAGAGCTGTAATATAGGGCACAAACTTTGTCCCCAGGTAATTTGACATGAAGCAGGTGCTAGATGGATTGTTTTTCCTTACTCCATGAGCTATGTTAGTTCTACCTTCAGTAGGCCTAATGCTTGAATAAACCATGTGTCTAATCAATAAATTATTTTCATGCTCAGAATTTCAGGTTTTGTACTCTAGTGTAGCTTGAATTTATTCCTTACTGTAAGAAGGCTTAACTGCAATGTGATTTAAACTTGGGTGTGGTTTGGTTTTTTTTTTTTTAAGCGGGGGATGTATGTGTTTTAATTCATGGGTACTTTTTAGAATCTAATAGATAATCCCATTGCCTTTATTTTTCTAATTAAAGAGTTCCTAAATACTTTGAAAATATAAAATCTTCCTGAATAGTTGTGCCTTACATTGGTTTTATTTGAAATTAAAATGGATCCCTGCTCATTACAGCTTTTTGTAGATTAAGTAATCCATTGTCAATCAAATTGGGAAGAAATGAACAAATGAGAAAGAAAGCAAAGGATGAAGAGATGGGATTATCAATCCTTGTTTAGCCAGTGCAAATTTTATAAATCTGACAATTAAGGATAATTTGAATCTCACAAAGCTAGCCAGTCTTCTCCTATAGCAGTCCTTCTTGCTGTTGTTAGTGCCATCAAGTCAGTTCCAACCCATAGTGACCCACCCTGTCTGGGGTTTCCAAGGAGTGGCTGGTGAGCTTGAACCACCGATCTTGTGGTTAAAACCAACTTTGCAGCCCAGTGCTTTATCCCACAGCACCACACCAGGATGCCATAGTAGCACTTAGAACCTGGAATTTACTTCACCCAACTCCTACCCCAACTCATTTTAATATGTCAATGTTTGTTCTAATTGGCATTCTTAGAAAGTGGTACTTTGTTCATTATTCTGCAGAGGAAAGGTACCATGTATGCCGTGTCCTCATTTCTCTGTTCTACATCAACTGGAAAACACATCCCGCTCTGTAAAGATTTGGTGATCTCCTTGAGGTGATCATCTACTAAGAAGAATCCCCATAGCAAATTTAATTCTGGAGTTTCATTTTCAGAGGAAAAAGAAACTTCAATAGCTGTGAGGTTTTATACAGTGAGTCACTTTTTTTACTATTTGGAAAATTAGGTATTTCCAATCATAAGCTGTTTCTCCTATTGATGGAAGATTACCAAGCATGTGCCTGATCATTTCTGTGTCAGTAAATCTGTGATAAATGTACAAAACTCAGTTGTGTGTTTATACACTAGCAATAATTATGCAATTTTATAGCATATCGTATAGAATCACATTAGTCAAATACCTATGAAGAAAGTTAAACAATAAATAAAAAGTGTAAAACCTCTAACCTGAAAGCCGCAACACATTACTAAGAGAAATTGAAGAACTTTGCAATAGATAAAACTAAGTTAGTGGCTTTGAAAGACTGCAAAAATGGTAGTTTCCTATAGATGATCTATAAATTCAACCAAAAACCCTACCAGTCATTCTTATATAAAATTGTCAAATACATATGGAAACTCAACAGACCTACAATACTCAAGATACTCTTGAAGAAAAATAAACTTGGAGAACTTTTACTGCCTTGTGTCAAGAATTATACTAACACTCTAATAATTAAGAAATGTGATACTAAGAGGATTAAGAGGCATTAACCGTAAAAGAAAAAGTTAAAAAAACTCATCAAAAACACTTCTCATCAGAAAAGTAATGTTAAAATGAAAAGGCAAGCCACAAACTGGGAGAAAATATTTGCAACATGAGGATAAGTCAAAAAATATTGCTACTGAGGTTCATATACTTATAAATGGGTTTATTCTAAATGTGTTTAAACATGTCTCTGAGATCATTGGATGGCTGCAGACAAGTTCTGTCAGTAATATACTTGTCTTCGGCTAGTTGGAGTGCCTTTAAAAAATTCTATCAAAACGGGCTTCCAATTACATTCAAAGCAGAGATGTCAGCTCAGAAGGTTATGGAGACAGTCTTTTGGGACACCAAAGGGTTAATTATGATAGATTTTTCTAGAAAGACATAGCACAATCACAGAAGTGTGAAGAAAACTGAAAACTCTATTGGTGAAATGGCCAAGAAAGTTGTGTCAAGGAATTTTTTTTCCTTATGACAATGTACCTGCTCATTCTTCAAGGATAGCAGTGGTGTGAAATGTTTGTTGGGAAACCTTATGCCATCTACCACACAGCCCTTGTCTTGCCCCTTCAGACTCATTTTTTAAATAAGTGAACTCAGCATTTCAAGGGAATAGGACTTAAATCCCTCAAGGATGCCCAAACTGCTGTTTGGACATGGTATAGATTGAAGAGTGCTAAATTCTCTGTGGAAGAATTAGAGAGATGGAAACAATACCTTCAGAAGTGTATAGACATAGCTGGAGGGTCCATCGAGGAACAGTAGCTTCACATGTTGATACTTGAAGTAAAAATTTCTATAATTTGTAGCAATACTTTTTTTACTTACTCTCATAAAAACCATTGCGAAAGTAGCCCAGTATAATAAAAAACAAATGGCTTGCACAGTCACTTCACAAATGCCCAAATAAACCATCGTTGTCAAGTGCCGTGGAGTAGGTTCCGACTCATAGCAACCCTTTATGGGAGCAGAAAGCCTCATCTTTCTTCTGCAGAACAGCTGGTAGTTTAAAACTGCTGACCTTGCAGTTCACAGCCCGATTCGTAACCGCTACGCTACCAGAGCTCCTTTGGCATAGTAAAAGGTGTTCAACATCAGTCATAAGAAATACAAAAACATGATACCACGAGGAAATACCACTGCTTGATGTAAATATGAAGCATGTGATAGAAGTGTTTGATGGTATAATTACCTTGGGAAACACTGCTAGTTTCTTATAAAAAGTAATCACGTGCTTATGGCTCAGCAATTCCACTTCTAGAGACATTGGTACATATAGTTGCGAGAATATTAGTACAAGAATATTTATGATGGTGGTGGTAAGTACTATCGAGTCTGTCATAGCAACCCTGTCTAGGGTTTCCAAGGAGTGGTCCAGTAATTAACATATGACACCACACCAGAACCCAAAGAATATTTAGAGCATTTATGATACCCCAAACTGGGAACTATGCAAATATCCATCATCAAGTTAATAGCCAAATAATTATACAATGGAATAACAAGTTGATTCCAAGTTGTGACAACTTCATGTCTGTCAAGAGTAGAACCGTGCACTGTAGAGTTTTCAGTGGCTGGTTTATCAGAGGTAGATCACCAGGCCTTTATCCCTAGGTACCTCTGGGTGGAGCCTTTCAGTTCCAGCC